ACCGGCCCCTCACCATCCTCACCTTCAGGTAGGTACTCCATTATAACTCCTACCGGCCCCTCACCAACCCCCCTCACCTTCAGGTAGGTACTCCATTATAACCCCTCACCGGCCCTCACCACCCCTCACCTTCAGGTAGGCACTCCATTATAACTCCTACTGTCTCTCACCACTCCCTCACCTTCAGGTAGGTACTCCATTATAACCCTACAGACCCTCACCACCCCTCACCTTCAGGTAGGCATCTATTATAACTCCTACTGTCTCCCTCACCAATTTCTCACCTCAGGCAAGCAGGCACTCCATTATAACTCCCACAGACCCCTCACCACCCCTCACACTCTTCAGGTAGGTAATTCCATTATAACTCCTACAGGCCCTTCACCACCCCTCACCTTCAGGTAGGTACTCCATTATAACTCCCTACCGGCCCCTCACCACCCTCACCTTCAGGTAGGCACTCCATTATAACTCCTACAGGCCCCTCACCATCCTCACCTTCAGGTACCCATTATAACTCCTACTGGCCCCTCACCACCCCTCACCTCTAGGTAGGTACTCCATTATAACCCCACAGGCCCCTCACCATCCTCACCTTCTGTGTAGGTACCCATTATAACTCCTACTGGCCCCTCACCACCCCCACCTTCACAGGCAGGTACTCCATTATAATCTCTACAGACCTCACCACCCTCACCTTCAGGTAGGTACTCCATTATAACTCCCACAGGCCCTTCACCACCCTCACCTTCAGGGTAGGTACTCCATTATAACTCCTACCGGCCCTCACCACCCTACAATTCCTTCAGGTAGGTACTCCATTATAACTCCCACAGGCCCCTCACCATCCTCATCACCTTCAGGTAGGTACCCATTATAACTCCTACCGGCCCCTCACCACCCCCCACCTTCAGGTAGGTAATTCATTATAACTCCTACAGGCCCTCACCATCCTCACCTTCAGGTAGGTACTCCATTATAACTCCTAATGGCCCTCACCACCTCACCTTCAGGTAGGTACCATTATAACTCCCAGGCCCTCACCACCTCACCTTCAGGTAGGTACTCCATTATAACTCCTACAGGCCCTCACCATCCTCACCTTCAGGTAGGTACCCATTATAACCCCACGCCCCTCACCACCCCTCACCTTCAGGCAGGTAACGAATATAACCCCACAGACCCCCTCACCACCCCCTCACTCAGGTAGGCACTCCATTATAACTCCTACTGGCCCCTCACCAATCTCACCTTCAGGTAGGTACTCCATTATGCAACCCCACAGGGTCTCACCATCCTCACCTTCAGGCAGGCAGCACCCATTATAACTCCTACAGACCCTCACCCCCTCACCTTCAGGTAGGTACCCATTATAACTCCTACAGGCTCCTCACCACCCTCACCTTCAGGTGGTACCCATTATAACTCCTACCGGCCCCTCACCACCCCTCACCAGGTAGGCACCATTATAACTCCTACCGGCCCTCACCACCCCTCACCTTCAGGTAGGTACCTTAATATAACTCCTACAGACCCCTCACCACCCCTCACCTCAGGTAGGCACTCCATTATAACTCCCTACAGGCCCCCACCACCCCCTCACCTTCAGGTAGGTACTCCCATTGAGCACCCCACCGGCCCCTCACCACCCCTCACCTTCAGGTGGTACCCAATATAACTCCTACCGGCCCCTCACCACCCTCACCTTCAGGTAGGTATCCATTATAACTCCTACAGACCTCACCACCTCACCTTCAGGTAGGTACTCCATTATAACCCTACAGGCCCCTCACCACCCCTCACCTTCAGGTAGGTACTCCATTATAACTCTACAGGCCCCTCACCACCCTCACCTTCAGGTAGGTGGCACCATTATAACTCCTACAGGCCCTCACCACCCTCACCTTCAGGTAGGTACTCCATTATAACTCCCACAGGCCCCTCACCATCCTCACCTTCAGGTGTAGGCACTCCATTGGCAACTCCCACGGCCCCCCACCACCCCTCACCTCTGTGCAGGTACTCCACAGCAACTCCTACAGGCCCCTCACCACCCCTCACCTTCAGGTAGGTACTCCATTATAGCCCCAATGGCCCCTCACCAATCTCACACCTTCAGGTAGGCACTATTATAACCCTACCGGTCTCACCACCCTCACCTTCAGGTAGGTACTCCATTATAACTCCTACAGGCCCTTCACCACCCTCACCTTCAGGTAGGTAATTCATTATAACTCCTACCGGCCCCTCACCACCCTCACCTTCAGGTAGGTACTCCATTATAACTCCTACAGACCCTGCCACCACCTCACCTTCAGGTAGGTACTCCATTATAACTCCTACAGACCCCCTCACCATCCTCACCTTCAGGTAGGTACTCCATTATAACTCCTACCGGCCCCTCACCATCCTCACCTTCAGGTAGGTACTCCATTATAACTCCTACAGGCCCCTCACCACCCTCACCTTCAGGTAGGCACCATTATAACCCCAGGCCCCTCACCACCCTCACCTTCAGGTAGGTACCCATTAACTCCTACAGGCCCCTCACCATCCTCACCTTCAGGTAGGTACCATTATAACCCACAGGCCCTCACCACCCTCACCTTCAGGTAGGTACTCCATTATAATCCCTCACCACCCCCACCTTCAGGTAGGTACTCCATTATAACCCCTAGCCCCACCACCCTCACCTTCAGGTAGGTACCCATTATAACTCCACAGGCCCCTCACCATCCTCACCTTCAGGTAGGTACTCCATTATAACCCCACAGGCCCCTCACCATCCTCACCTTCAGGTAGGTACTCCATTATAACTCCTACAGGCCCTCACCACCCTCACCCAGGTGGTACTCCATTATAACCCTACAGGCCTCACCATCCTCACCTTCAGGTAGGTACTCCATTATAACTCCTACAGGCCTTCACCACCCTCACCTTCAGGTAGGTACTCCATTATAACTCCACAGGCCCCCACCACCCTCACCTTCAGGTAGGTACCATTATAACTCCTACAGGCCCTCACCACCTCACCTTCAGGTAGGTACTCCATTATAACTCCTACAGGCCCTTCACCACCCTCACCTTCAGGTAGGTACTCCATTATAACTCCTACAGGCCCTTCACCACCCTCACCTTCAGGTAGGTACTCAAAAGTGCAACAGGCTCCACACTCGCCCCACCATCAGGTAAAGTACACCTACACCTCCTCCTCCTTCGTGTATTTGCATGACATTTTTCCATTCTTAGTTCCTTCAGGTTTAGATTAACACTCCTCTGTATTACTCAACATTGAAATATATGAAGGAAAAAATACAGCTTCTTCCACCTGTTGGGACGCCCGTGAGAAATATATATCTACACCTGTTTAATATAGCGAGACAAATTTGATACCACATGTACTGCAGTTACCTGGAGGAGGAAAGATCGAAGAGAAAGACTAATATTACTCGATATTCCTTAGATATTCCTTATAAAACCTCAGGAAAGTCTATACCTAATATTACTCCATCTTGTTATATCCTCGGGACAATTTTGTTTTTAATTTCTTTCACCTTTAAAAGACGTAAATAAGTAGACACCCAAAGAGATGAATATTTACTTTTAAACGAGACAGTATCTACACAACGTCTTTCAATATCTAGATGTAATTATTTCCTGTAATTTTCTGTAACCCAACCACTCGCTGTAGCTAAGTTAAAGGAGCTGAATTTTCGATCATTTAGATATTGAAAGGAAAATAAATCAGTTTGGGTTGAAATTAAACGTTTGAGAGAGAGAGAGTAAAGTGAGAATGTTAATGAGAAACACTACAACTTCCCCTTCACCCCCTCCCTCCTTCTCACCCTCCTTCCCCACCCCCACCCCCCCGACAAGAGGAGGCGTGTGTGTGTGTTGCTCCACTTTTAATTCTGATTTTTTTACTCAACTGAAAACATTTAATTATTTACCCTATTTACCTATTAACTATTTTTTTCTATTTACCTATTAATTATTTTTATATTACCTGTTAATTATTTACCCAATTTACCTATTATCTATCTTCTCTATTTATTGTACCTATTAACTATTTTCACTAAATATCTATTCATTTATCGATTTACCTCCCTATTCATCTAATTACCTCCCTATTCAACCAGTTATCTCCCTAGTCATCTCCCTTTTCATGTTTCTCTCCCTCCCTCCTCCCTCACCCCTACGTAGACACTACCTCACCCCACTCGTCGTCAGGTAAACACAGCAATGTATTCCCAGGATGACAGTGGCCTGAGTTCACCTGTGTCCTGGGGTTAAAATATTCAACTGCGATAATGAAAATACATATCTCATGGCTTTCTACACCTCTCTCCTCTTCCTCCTGTTCGTCTTCTTCCTCTACCTCCTCTTCTATTCCTTGCTCTTCTTGTTCTTCTTCTTCTTGTTCTTCTTCTTTTCAACCTCCTCCTCTTGCCTCTCCCATTTCTTCTCCTCCTCCTCCTCCTCCTTCCTCCTCCTCCTCTTCTTCCTCCTCATCTTCTTGCTCCTCCTCCTCTTCTTCTTCCTCCTCATCTTCTTCCTCTTGCTGCTCCTCCCCTTTTCCTTACTTTCACCTGCTTCTTTACACTCTACTGACTTTCTAATACTTTCACCAAGTTTCTACACTCTTGCTGACTTTTTCTTTTGCCTTTGATTTTTTTGAACTTTCGCTAACTTTGGGATTTTATTGCTTTGTCATATACTTTCTCTCTAACTTTCTATACTTTCATTGAATTTCTATACTTTCACTGATTTTCTATACCTTTCACTACTCCCTAGACTTTCACTCTGATACATTCGTCTATTTTGTATATTTTCAGACTCTCTAAACTTTCACTTTATTATACACACTCACACAACACTTTCATTTGACTTTCTACAGCTACACTTGCTTTCTACCCTCTCATAAACCTACAACTTTCATCGCTTTCTTTCATACTTTCACTCAATCTCTACACTTTCACTGTCCACCACACTCAATGAAA